TCTTCCTTAAGCAAAAAGAGGATGATTGGCACAGATGTTAGCTCAAGGTGAGTCTTCCTCAAGCAAAAAGAGGAAAATTGGCACAGATGTTAGCTCACAGCCGATCTTCCTCACAAAAAAAAAAAGAAAGAAAGTATTTTCTTTAGACAGCAGGGAGTAACAGAGCTTTCTTAAGCAGTGTTCTGACTCACAGGGGAGTCTCGATGGTACCTCTTCCTCTCTTGTTAATTGGCGTGAACACCCAAGGGAGCAAGAAAGCACCTACAGCCTATTATTTTGGGAGAAGAGACTGGAAACGTGGATGAATCAAAATTTGGTGGGCATAAAATTTTTGGTAAAATGCCTAGATTAAAATGGTATGAAGAATGAAGAGCTGCAAGGAGTGGTCTCAGCTTTGAAGCTGAGAAATGTAAGCCGTGGTCCTACCCTCCCCACTGATTTGAAGTGATAGAATCAATGAGTCTTTTCCAGGCATAGGGATGAGGTTCATCAAGGCCTACTAGTCTGAGGCACTGGCTGCAGCGGGCAGTTCCTAATGGCCCAGTCTCCCCTTGAATGTTTCTGATGTGAGGGAACTGATCACTCACTGGGAGAGCCCGTTCCATTTTTCGACAGCTGTAATTCTCAGGAAACGTTCGTCCAGGAGCTCTCCCAGGATCTTCTGCCTCTGTAGGCCCAGGACTGAGTTGCATGCCCACATCTTCTCCCCTGTTCTCTCCTTCATTACAAACAGGTCCCGGGGCTGTGCCCATTCTGTTCTCCTCCCCCTGCCCCATCTCCTGTCTCTTGTTACCTGATGGCTCTGGAATGCTCTAATGCTCACCAACACAAAGACAGATAAGTTGGCTCGGAGTCTGCCTTGGATTCTCCAGGTGGAGAAATGGGTGGTGAAGTAGAGTGGAGGTGTCTGGTGCATGACACAGGCAGAGGAATGACATGGAAAGATGCCTCGTAGGAGTTCCAGGTTCGAAATCAGACAGCCTGCGTTGGACTTCTGCCTCCCCGGCCGGACAGTTGTGTGACCCCGGTGACTCCTTAGCCTTTCTGGGCTCCCGTCATCTCTTCTGTGAAATGGGGAGATAGCATCCCTCCGTCAGGGTTCTTGGATGGATCAAACGAGGTGATGCATGTAAAGCAACTAGCAGGGAGCTGACACACCAATATGGTGTAGCTCTTATGACATTCCTGACAGTGGATGGTTGCTCTGTGGAGTGAGAGGAGCCTGACACGGGCTGGAGCAGGCAGGGCCTGCAGGAGGCGGGGTTGAGCTGTGGCTGGACAGGTAGGTTGTGAAGAAAGTGCGACGAGTTAGCTACCCAACAGATACCGCACCAGGCCACCTTGGCAGATAAATAATGCTGTCTTGGTGCCTCTGGCTAGTGGATCAGAAAACAGACTTGGTAATGGATGCCCAGTGCTATTTGGGGAAAAGAATTATGGGCAGAGCTGTTGGGGATGCCGTGAAGTATTTTCCAGAATATAACTGCTTTCTCTTTGGGTTTGCCTCACATCTTAGCAGCTCGAAGCCACCAGCCTGACATCCCTTGTTAGCTGGGGGCTGCAGGACCCGTGGACTTTTTTCAGGGATCACGTTTATGATTCAGAGGTATAAGTCCCTGGTGAAGCAGAATGTTGGGAGAGAGACAAGGAAAGGTTTTGTTTTCAGTTGACCATTTTTTTTTTTCCTGGAGATTTAATTGTAAATCACTTTATTGGAGTAAAATTTGAGGAGGGAGCTCTTAGCAACTTGGATTTAGAAGACAAAATTTAAGGTAACTGCCTTTCAACTTAGCATCTTCGAACTTTACAAAAATTATTCTCTTTATCAGTTTCTGAGACTGTATAGAGTATTATAAGAAAATAACTTTCCTACTTAAAATTTGAAATCTCTCTGGGCCAGCCTGGCGGCGTAGTGGTTAAGTTTGGCGTGCTCCACTTTGGCGGCCTGGGGCTTTTGAGTTCGGATCCCGGATGGAGACCTACACCACTCATGCACGGCCATGCTGTGGCGACATCCCACATACAAAACAGAGGAAGATTGGCACAGATGTTAGCTCAGGGCCAATCTTAAGCAAAAAGAGGAGGATTGGCAACAGCTGTTAGCTCAGGGCCAATATTCCTCACACACACACAAAAACCTCTATTAGAAAAAATGTCAAGAACAAGGCTTTCCTTCTTAGACCCGCCCGTCGCTAATTCCCTGGGCCTGTCTGCCGGGGTATGCCGCTTCTACATTAATGACATGACTGAGAACAGTATTTACTTTTGGCCAATGAAATAGGCTCTTGCTGGTAGAAGATACACAGGTTGAACACCAACATCCATTGAGCATTATTGCAAGAAAAGAGAATCTAAACTCTTGAAGCTCTTACTTATCCACATGTGTGGACACAGCCTTACTGCTGTATTTTCTTTCCCTCTGATGGCCTTTCCAGTAGGTTGAAGTAGTGTTTACATCATATCAGTTCTTTCCATTTGAAGCTATGACGTGACATTTATGTTATCTGTATTCTAAAATGAGTTTATTTGGTGCTTTTCAACTCTACAAATTATATATTAATGTACAGTCTTAAATGTTTTGGGAATTACTTGATTTCCTTCAGGGCCAAAATGGTGATGGTTTTAAGAGCCATGAGGTACATTTGACTGTGTTTGTCCTTGTTCCTTGTATTTGGAGAAACACGTGTCCTGCTGGTTTCTACCGGTGTGGTTTGCTCTAAGGGCTCTGTCATGGCAGAAGGCAGGAGGCTGGGCACCAGGGGTCAGTCTGATGCTGGTGAGTTTCTCTCGCCAACTTGCCAGGTGGCCTCACACACCTGAGCAATCCTTCTGGGCCTCAATTTTTTTTCCTCTTGAAATGACATTGGAGTTGATGCTTTCTAAAGTCCCCTATGGCACTGACAGTCTATGATGTTATTTTATAATCTCCAGCTGTAAATCGCCAGTGGACAAAGGTGCTGGTGCTGTGTATCCATCATGGTGCTCACTCTGTGCCCAGTGGGTTCCTTTACTGTGTCCTCCAACCCCCCCAAAGACTGGAGTGTCTACAGTGGCTAATTCCAGATCAGTATACCCACATGCAGCAAATATGCAGTGTAACAAATCTCATTGCATTTACTTAAGAGCGCTTAATTTTACCTTTTGTCTGGGTAGTCCAAGCAGAATTTCTTCAGCGTTTTCTTCCCTTAGCTGTCTCTAAAATCAGCAAATTGAAGCTATGCAGAGAACTCAACAGTATCCTCCTAAACCATGGGTTCGTTTGCCTCTTGCATTAAGGGTTGTCTGGTCTTTGTTGAAGGCCAATCCCTTTCCATTCTTCGCTCTAGTATTGATATGCTTCTGTTTTTTTGCCTTTTGACAGAAGAAGGTTCAAGCTTGGAGGAAATCGGCTTTAACTGGGGAGAATATTTGGAAGAAACGGGTGCCAGTGCAGCTCCTCACACATCGTTCAAGCATGTATGTGACCTCCCTTCTCTTTCTGATCTGCATTTGGAGGGTGGGAGGGGAATCTGCAGGGGGATGCCAAGCAACCAGTCAGAAGAAAGGGGATGGAAAGAAAAGGAAATTCCAAGGTCTCTTAGAAATAAAGAGGGGGTGTGGAAGTCAGCTGAGTTTTCCCAGATGGCTGCAGGTACGATGGGCCGTGTGCTTGTAGCTTATGTCACCTAATACAGGGCTGGGCCCAGGGTGCACCGTGCTCAGTGGGTGAGAAGTGGGGTGCAGCTGAAACCTTGTTCTATACCCCAGAAAGCCAAATTAGACAGATACGGCCCTTGCTGTGTAGGGGTATGCAGGGAGACAGGTAAGTTTGATTCAAATAAATAAAAATCCAGCAAACTAGGCAAGTAGGTGTAATGTGTAATGTCTTCTTAGGATATATAATGGCTATATATTTTTATTTTGAATTGAGATTTTTATTTTGAAAGGACATCTAAAAGTTTTACAGCCATTTGTGGGCTGAGTCAAATCAGAAGAAATGACATAAATATTCAGAAAACATTTGGATCAAACCAAAAAATCATTGTCGTCAATGCTGTTTCTTTGAATGATGCAAACAGCATGCCTCGCAGAGGGCAAATCCCAGGAAAATTAAAAAATTGAGTTTTTACCAGATTTTTGCTTAGGTAGGAGATTTTGGTAATGTGTCATGAGCAAGGAAAAGACTTAAGTTTCCAGAACCCAAGATCTGAGACTTTACTCTTTCTTTCCTGGAAATGAAAGTTTAATTCTGAGAAATATTTTTTTCACTGGGCTACCCAGGAAAGAGATTCAGCCTGGGTATTGTGAGCAGATTGGGACACTTTCTTAACCTGTTCACCTTTTTGGCTCTTTTGCTGAGTTAGGAAGCCAGAACTTTGATTCTTTATTTTGATGCAAAATTTTTTTCTTTTCTTTTTTTTTGCTGGGAAAGATTCGCCCTGAGCTAACATCTGTTGCCAATCTTCCTCTTTTTCTTTTTTTTTGCCTCCCCAAAGCCCCAGTACATAGTTGTATATTCCAGTTGTAAGTCGTTCTAATTCTTCTATGTGAGCTGACACCCTATGGCTACGGACAGACGAGTGGTGTGGTTCCACGCCCGGGAAGTGAACCTGGGCTGCCAAAGTGGAGCACGCCAAACTTTACCCACTAGGGCATCAGGACTGGCCCAACATTTTATTCTTTTTGGAGGTCAAGTGCTCTTTCAAAAAGGATTTTAAGACCTTATTAAATTTGCGTGACCTTGTAAAGGTAGATTGCATTCCCAATTCTCTTCTTATACTGCCACTCGTAGTGTTATAATTACTGGTTTATTATGAATGTGATTGTGGCCATTTATTGAAACTAAAAGCTAAATATTAAAACATAGCAAAACTAAAACTCACCTGTTCAGCGTGGATACGGCCCTGCAAAAGCCATTGGAATGTTTGCCTCTTATGATTCCGCATGACTTGGTCAGATTCCTTGAGGCAATTTAGGGAAGAGATATTCACTGACAACTTTTTCCTTCCTTTGGGTACCAAGAAGTTATCAGTATCTCTCCCTGTGGAGTCACTCCTGTCTCTTTAATCCAGTCAGTTCTCCCACCTCCCGTTCAATCACAATATAGTGTCCTTCAGGATGCAGAGTTACCCCAGGCCGTTATGCCAGGTTTTAAGAAGAAGTAGCATGGACCCAAGAACAAGCCATTTATAATCCCATCATCTCTTTTCAGCAACTGCTGCTCACAGACATCAGGTGTGTTAGTTTTGGAATGTCCACCAGGCTGGAAAGCTTTCTTTTGGGGGGAGAGCTGGTAACCATTAATAGACTATAATCCTTAATTAATAAACAAGAAAATCCGTTCTCTAAGGCTGTGCTGTTCACGAGGTAGCCACTAGCCTCATGGAGCTTTTGAGGACTTGAGAATTGTGTCGTCCAAATGGAGATGTGCTGTAAGTGTAGAATACACACGGGATTCCCAAGGCTTCAGTGGAAAAGAAGAATGTAAAATATCTCATGAGTATTTTTTTTATATTGATTACATCTTGAAATGATGATATTTGGGATATATTGTTAAACAAAATACATTATTAAAATTAATTTCATCTGTTTTATCTCCCTTTTTTAATGTCGCTACTGGGAAGTTTAATGTCACATTGATGGCTCACATTATGTCTCTTAATGCTGTTCTAGGGCTCAGAAACACTGTTTTCGAATGCTGAGTTTTTGATAGTTCTCGTAATCTTCTGCAGGTACGTATCTGGTAATAATAACGATTTTCTCGTGTCTCTGGTTTCTTAAGGTTGAAATCAGCATTCAGAGCAACTTCCAGCCGGGGATGAAGTTGGAGGTGGCGAATAAGAACAACCCTGACACATACTGGGTGGCCACTGTCATTACCACCTGCGGGCAGCTGCTGCTCCTGCGCTACTGTGGCTATGGGGAGGACCGCCGGGCCGACTTCTGGTGTGACGTGGTGATCGCGGATCTGCACCCCGTGGGGTGGTGCACGCAGAACAACAAAGTCTTGATGCCCCCGGATGGTAAGCTCCCTGCATCCGCTCGGCAAGCTGGCCCACGGCTGGAAGCCTGTTGATTTGTCAGTGATCGTCATTCGTGATGCTCGTGGAGAAACCCTTGAGGGATTCCATAACTGATTTAGTAGGAAGGTCTGGCGCTGTAAAGGTTGCTTCTTGGGTTTCATTAGCTGGAGGGTGCTGGAGTGAGGGGGGAACTGGGTGCCTTTTCAGATGTCAGAGCCCAGCCTGAGAGGTGAGCCAACCGTGGTCTTCAAGAGATAGAAGCTTTGGAGCCTGCTCTCAGATGGGTTTTCGGAGGTAGGAAGGGAAGGCTGAAGGGCTGCTAGGGATGGAGGTCTTGTCTTCCCTTTGGTGATGGATTATGTTGCTTTTCTTTTGCGTCAGAGACTTGACATTTTGAACAGCACTATAGAGCATCTGAAACAGGCTTCTCTAATAAGTTTTAATCTATCTTGTGGTGGGGAGACTGTCAGGGTGTGAAGCATGTGGAAAACCAAGCAGATGAGGAGAAAGGACATTACGCTCTAGGGAATTGTCAAAGCTTGGCGTAGATAAGATCCGTTTAGTTGCTAGAAAACAGTTCTCTACTGGGGCAAGTTTACCCCTCCCTGGGAGATCTGGCAATGTCTGGGAGCATCTTTGGTTGTGAGATGGGGAGGAGGGAGGATGCTGCCAGCATCTAGTGGGAGGGGGCCAGAGATGCTACTAAACATCCTACGGTGCAGTGCAGAGGACAGCCCCCAAAGAGTTACTGGCCTCAAACTGCCGTGGTCCTGAGATTGAGAACTGCTGGCAAAGAATGGGCTGCATATTACAAATGCATTAAAGGAACTCATCTGATCCTGCAGGTGAGCAAAACCGCGTTACCAAATATTTCAATCTCAACACCCTATTCTCTATGTTTTATTATTTGATGATGTCATCAGTTATGCTTGAAGACTTTTGATGCTAATTCTCAGGCATGTGTAATGTCTTCTTGGTACCTGCCTACCTATTTTAATTTTGAATTGATGTTTCTGTTTTGAAGTGACTTGAATTCTGAGGTTCATCGTGTCCACTGTATTAGCAATTGCTTTCGCCTTTCGGAGTACTTGAGTTTTATCTTCTTTTTTAA